AATTCAAGACATTTGCATCACATACCATAAGATTTTTGTGAAAATACATAATTTTGCTAAGGTTTACGGGATATTAAACTTTATGTTAAATATTTAACTCAAGATCTTTGCACAAATATAATAAGATTTCTAAAAACCTAACTATTTTAAGGATAAAGAAATATTATAAACATTTTATACAAATTTACAGGATTTTACTATAATTTCAGTTAATAATTTACTTTATTTCCTTAAATTATTTTTATAATACTAACAAATCTTTGCTTTGAGTATTTTAAGAGTTGAATATAAATTACCTTATTTTTTTACTATGCAAGAAAATCTAAGATTAATTTTATAAATTTAACAAATTTTTAAATATTTTATTTAATAATTTACATTCTTTTATAATTATTAAGTTCTTAACAAACTCTTTGCCTCTAATACTTTAAAAGATTTGTAGGTGAATTACTTTAGTTTGTAATTGTGAAAGGATAGTCAGAATCATTTCAATTATAAATTTAACAAATTTTTAAATAAATTTTATAAATTATTAACTTTCTTTCCTTATATTTTTCTTTTATTTTAACAAATCTTTGCATAAAATATTTAAAAGGAGTTGTATATAAATTGAGATCTTCTACTCAATTTTATCTAAAAATAAAATTTCTCGATCCATTGATTTATTATTTTAAAAATCTATGCAAATTTTTGATTTTATTAATTTAAATAAATTTCTTGACACATAACGAAAATTTAATTGTTTCTTATAACACCCGAGCTGCAAGCTTAAATGCTTCCACTCCTTTAATTAGAGAAGAAATTTATAAATTTAGTTACGAACGCAAAATTTTATATATAAAAAATATAGAAATCTTAAAATATTGATTTAATATTTGATTCACTCATTAACAAAAAAACGACTAACGTTCAAACTGCAAACCTTTTAATTTAGTATTTTTTGTTTCAACTATTTTTTTGGTTAAATTTTTTCCTTAGTTTATAAACTTCTATTTTCTATTGTTTTAAATTTTTATTTCCACAAAACTAAATTAACGTACCTCTTGAAATTTCTTTTTAATTTTTTACAGACACATATATTTATGTTATTATAAAATACTTTAATAATATTTTATTAATAAACTATTTTAATTGTAAGTTAAGAAAAAATCTTTACTGATCAAAAAGTTTATTTTGTAGGTTTGTAAGTTTTAAATAAATTTTTAAGTTTCACTATATATTTTTTTAAAAAAACAATTTGTTTTATTATTTCGAAAAGATTCCTACAATATTTTTGGCGTTACTTATACAGGTATAAATTCATATTTTTATATCGTTTCTCTTATAAATTTTTATGGAATTTTTATAGTGAAACGGTTCTTAAGTCTAAGAAATTTTGAATTACGTAAATTACAAAAAAATTATAGAATATAAAAAACTAAACTTCAGGTAAAACAAAGCTTTAATTATAAGTAATAAATTTTAAAGTTCCTTATCTTTTTTTTCCTTTTTTAAATTGGTTTACCTACAAGTAAATAAGAACTAACAGTAAGAGATTAAAATACTTAAAAATTAAATTAAAATTATGTTATTAAGCTGATTTCTAAATGAAGAAGCGCTTGTGAGAGCTTCTTAAACAATTAAAAAACAAGACAGGCATTAAGAAAGACTAATATTAATACAAACAGTTAAAGTTAATTTATGCTAAGTAACTAAGACAAAAAGACTTTTAAGATCTTTTTGGAACAAGCTAAAAACAAGGAAAATAGTTTAAAAAAAAGACCAATATTTATTCAAAAAAAAATTAAAAAATTGCGAAAGATTTAAATAACGAGGTGCTTGTGAGAGCTTTAAAGTATATAGAGTAAACAGAATGAAACAGAGTTGGCATCTCAGAAAAGGCCTAATTAATAGTTCAAAAAAACTTTGCAATAAAAAGAATCTAAGTTATATATATTGTTTATCCTTGTATTCAGCTTAAAGATATTGTACTTATACATGATACACTCTCTTGCAAAAAAAAATATTTTAAAAGAAACCAACTGCTCGGCAGATTATAAAGTCCTTCTTAGCTTAAAACTTTTAATAATTTTTTTTGGAAAGAGTTAAGTAATTAAAGATTGTTCATGTTTTATAGGGCCCGGTGTCCTTCAACACTATAACAATTTTAAACAACTAACTAAAAGAGAGAATTGTCAGCCTGCACAGACATTGCAACTCGGAAAACTACTATAGTTTTAAAATAATAAAAAAATTCAGAAACTACTAAACACGCCCAAACAGTTTTTACAGACGCAATCAACATTTCTGTAGAAGTATATATAAAGCGCGTCCTTAAAATGTATCGATACCAAAAAAATATTAATCACGCAGTGGGCACCGCCGACCGACCAATAAGGCTCAACCCTAAGGACGCGAGGACACCCTCAGAGTGCGCTCAATGGTTGCTCTGTTCTCCTAGGAAACGACTAATGGGAAGAGTTGACCCACCGCGCATTGGAAGGAGAAACTGATTAACTTCAAGAGACAAAGCAGCTTTTATAGGGGTATATATATTAAACTGAAGAAGGAGTAAAATATAGGAACCCACGTAAGGGAAATAATACTAAAATTAAAAAAAGGCAATATAAAAGTTTATGCTTTTAACACAAAACAGAAAAATATATATAAATTGTAGATTCACGGAAGATTCCAGAACGTTCGAGACGGTTTGTAACATGTGCTTGAGCGAAGGAGTATAAAAAACTTTAAGCCAGTGTTCCGCACACTGTGGGGCGTTTTGATTGTTTATATCGGTCACGGGTGATGCATCCAAAGCCGATAACTGTGGCGCTCCTCGTTAGTTAACCTTCGCTGCCCTATTTAATGGCATTACAGCAATGGCGTTATATAGCTTTTGTATTTCGCGAGATCTAATGGGTATAGTTAAAATCGTTTCCTTATTTTAAGCTGGGATCAACACTTACGTTTACTGTCATTTTATAATATCTTTGAGAAGTGAGTTAGTATTAGTATTAGTGTTTCTCAGATAGAAAGAATCTTTTTTATCGCACATTTCAAAAAATTTATGACGAGTAGCTAGTCTTATTACTTACCCAAAGCTCGAGTTTAGTCTCCAGAGGGTGATATTTCAGCTCTTAATACAAGCAATACTGTCAAGTTCACCTTTATTGCTCAGTAGAAGAAATATTTCCCTCGGTTTGAATTAAAAAACTTTCGTTAAAAAGTTATACTTTGTGTTCACTCGATAAAAAACAGTAGTAGTTTCTAGGCGTTATGTGAAGCAACCCATTTAAGATTTTTTTTATTGCTGAGGATCAAAAATACTAAAAGGTAAGAATTATTAGAATTAAGGCTTTGAAGAGATTTGTTTAATATACTATAAATAATGTGTAGTTTTGGTTTTATTAAGTACTTTTTTAAAAAAAATAGGGTTCAGGCCGCTAAACGATTTTTTCCTAAAGTATTAGTTAACTGAGCCGTAATATAAAGCAAGCTGATTTATATTTTTTTTCAGGCTTGCACTGATTACTACAGTGAAAACCATGCAAGAACTTCTTTATAAAAAGTAACTTTGTACGGGATTTACTTTTATTTGTACTTTAGGAAGATAAATTAAGACGGTTGCTTCTAGAAATCTTTGAAATTGTATGTTACATAAAACTTGATTTCGGATTGAGACATTCCGTTTAAGTTGATTGAATTCAGTTTTTGCTAATGGTATTAGTTCTCTGCATTCTTTTGCAAAAAAATTTTTAAGTAACTTTTTAAATATGCAATTTTTCGGGTTGAAAAAGGTAGTATTTAGTTATTTAACTATGTCAAATCTTATCTTTGTTAAAAAAGGGGTAGAAAGGAAGGCGGAAGTGGAAGTTTGTAAAGCTGATACAGGGAGGTCGGTTAAATAGTATTTTTTCTAGGGTACATTAAGCGCACCTCTTAACTTAAGAAATTAAAGAAATATAATTTAGCAGTAAAAGTTAAAAGGAAAATTAAAGTATCTAAAGAAAACCATATAATAAACATCTTTTCCGCATTATTATTTTGCTTGTTTTGATATTTTTCAAGACGTAAAAAATACTCAGCAACGCACCACGAAAAAAAATTATATCAACTTCACGTATACCATGTAAAGAGCGCATTGCCTTTTTTTTTTTTCATAATAAAAGTATAAACGTTTGTGAATTTTTTCTGCTACGATTTTATATTTTCTACAAAAATTAATTTTTACTTATTTTATGCGAGGAAAGGCTCTATTAACAACAGCAACCAGCCTAAAAAAAAAATATTTAGTAGCCAGAAAAAGGCTAACAAACTGCAAAGCGAAGTTCATAAGGTTTAAAAAGATCTTCACTATTATAAAAAAGCTTAAAGAACTCAATATAGGTAACTTCACGAAAGCTTTTGGCAAAAAGCAAGCAAATGAGAACTAATTGCAGCGGTTATAGATCAATAGAATAATAGAATATATATATAAATATTTAAAATAGTTATAAGTGGTAATGAAAATAGCTTATAATAATTACTATGATCTTCTAATATTACTAAAATAGTAGCTATTACAATTAAGAGTAGTGAGTAATTAAACAGTTAGAAGGTCATCGCATTTAAACTGTATTACGATAAGAATGCTAAGAAATATCACACTATGCACATCACTACACTTAGAGAAACTGTATTACGATAAGAATGCTAAGAAATATCACACTATGCACATCACTACACTTAGAGAACAGGAAAGACATAGAGGCCAAAAATTCAGAATACAAGAAATAGTAATACATAAATCGGTTTCATGTACGAAAATCCACACAAATTAAATATTTTTTTTGAAACAAATTTAAATTATCTAAAGATTTTTTTTATTAATACTCCTTAGGGAACCAAACCAGAATTCGGTTATAATTTTTTATGTACCCAAATGCCTTGCGACCCACACACATGAATCGCCCTCCACGCTGATGGTACGACCATTTATTCCTTTTTGAAGTCTTCCTCCTTGCTATGCAAGCATCAACAAAGCTATTTTGTCGCCCTTGCCGTCTGCTGCCGTGATTGCAAGGTTACTATATATGCGATGAAGAGTAAAGCTATATTAATTTCAGAGAAGCGTCCCCTTCAAGATTCCATGGTATCCTCAAGCGAAATACTTGGGAACCATGCTCGAAAACCAAAGCTGTTAGTGCCAGGGTGATACCTACACTTTTTGAATGTAGCCTGAGCACTTCGGTTTTTTCTATATACCTACCTTCACTCATTTTTTGCTATACATTTGCCGTTTATAATATATATACTTAAATTCACTTTAATCTTCCTACATGTATTTGCTCTATTTATTCTGCTGTTCCTTCCTTTTAATAATCTTTCAGCTTACATTATTGTTTTAGCTATAAATGAAAATTAAAAGAACTAAAATTTGCGCTTATCTTTGAATGACGAGCTGAAATCTGTTCGTCTTAAAAATGTAACTGATGTTTCTCCTTATTGCGCCAGCTGTCGAGGTAGTTCTTATCACTCAACTAATTCTCACTTATGCAGGCATATGTTTGCATCCTTAAGTAATATCTTTTCAGTTAGTATTTTAATAAGCCAAGAAGAAGAGTTGCACATCTATATTTAATAAGGAAACGACAAGTTCCGCAGTAAACGTAATAATAAACGAGCTTTTAAGCCTTTGTGGTAAACTTTCTTTGCTGTTTTTATATGTTCGCACGGTGTTTTGAAAGCCTAAAGTCTTAAGAAAAAAAAAAAGGTATAAACTTTAAGAACTAATAACTTTGAAACAATAAAGTTAAGTGCTACAGTATATAATATATTAAAGAAACATAATATGGATTTAGTTGAAAAAAGGCTTTAACCACTATACTAATTTTTTTTGATGACTTCTGAACTGGTTGAGAGTAGAGCCCATCGCCTAGCAAAACTCTAAGGGAATGTGAGCAAAAAAAGATCCGGTAAGCACGCCATCCTTCTAGCTGTTCACATATAACAGTGGTTAGGAAAAAGATGATGCTTTAATAGGTCAGACGGTTATTAAATTTTCTTGGTACACGCTTTATCTACAGGTCGGGAAACGGAGCAGTAGCTCACTCTTACATATCGCTGGGTTAATTTGTTTTTTTTGAAGCAGTGTCCATCAAGTTTGACCTTAGTTACCAAGATGACGTCATTGTTTTTGCATATAGGTCCTCGGATTGCAATTGTTTCCTAAAAAGCTGGTCAACCAACGGTACACTCATACTCTTTTTCGAGGCTTGGAAAAGGCACTCGTCTCGTTCTTAAATTATTTTTTTTAACGTTAAGCACATTACTGAGTGTTTATAAACGACATCATTCGCATGCCTCTCTACCCCAGATTGTTGATTACCGATTCTTAAAAACAGCCGACTCATCCGTTTTTACGTATACGTTCAAAAGTATAAACGCCGTAACACTTGAAGGATTGCGAAAGTTTGCGGAAAGTGCTCGTTGTATAAAATAGAGCTTCAGTTTGTATTTTTTTAAAAGGGCTACGCAGAGCTCTCGCATGTTTTTCAACCTTTATGAAAGAATTACGAATTATAAATTTTACATGTACCTAAATTTTATATGTTCGAACGGTTTTTGAAGTATTTGGCACTCTAAATAAAACAGTAAATCTTAAAAGTACAAGATAAACTTTTTCGGTTCAATTTTTTTGTACCAAAAGACATTTTATTACTAACTGTACAATATTCAAGGTCAAAAAAGTCTAGAAGACTCGCTTAAACTACAACAAAATTACGAGTTTCGTCGTTTCCAGAAGGCTCTGAAGGTAGTTGAGTTGAATGCAAGACATTAACAGATGTTTAGCTTTTTCGAGCTTGTCATCTAACAGTGTAGGAAGGGAGTGTCCTTTAATGACTTGCATGCCCGAGTACACTGAAAGATTCTTTACACTGTACGGTGTCCAAGGGCATTACCATCTATAACCAAGGTGTATAATTGTAAAGATGTCTAGCATGCGCCAAGTAATAATCAATTGAAACCTGTTGTAAACTTTTAATTAAATTGTCTTGAAAGAATAATGTAGTTTACCAGCACGTTAATAACCCCCGCCTACAGCGGAGAATAAAGAGGTTAAAGCAGGGGAGGTAAGGGGCGTTTATAAGTATTTAGTAGCCGCAAAAATGCAGAGGGGAAGCACTGTTTTCTTTTAACTCTTTCTTATTTGCGGTGTCACTTAGAAATGGATAAGTGATAGGTGTCCAAAAATCGCTGGGGCGGCTCTAAGCCTTTACAGAAGATGGCAAGATTTAAATAGAATCACGCCAATATTAACACTACCACTACCTGGCTAAACGTAAATAAAAAATTGAAGTTATCTACTTTTAAGAGACTAGAATTATTAGAAATTACCTGCAAGACGCATAAGCCAGTGGAGATTATAATAGGCAAATTTATAGAGTTTATCAGCTAAGTATTGAAAAATTTAATAAAAAGAATAATACTGATCATCACATAGTTATTTAAAGTCAGCAGCAAGGTAAAAGAATTGCGGAAAGGACCATTCAGCTATAAAAAAGATCAACAAAAAGTTGCACGAAGAATGGGATGTAGTGCTAGACGATTATATTATTATAACAGTCTGCCGTACGCATTTGGTGCTTCACTCACATTATTGCTTTTGGAAATGTAAGCATTTTATTACGAATTATTGAGAGAGAATCATTCACTTGTTAAGAGCTTCAGGAAGAAATTAATTTGATAAAATTATTAAAGCATCACTTTGTTACAGTAAACTGACTAATGCTATGAAAATTTTAGAAGTAAAACAAGAATTATAAGAGGAAAGGAAGAAAAAGGTCTACGATAACGATATCTAGAAAGCGGAAAGGCCTAGTGGCATATTAAAAAAGCTTAAGGTGAAAACTGGGTGGGACCCAACTTTAGAAAAAGTTGTTCTAAGTACTGAATTACATGAACTAAGTTTTGATAAATAGCTAACTAAACGTCACCGAGATCATATCAAACACCGTATGAAATGTATTTTGGTGCTAATTTTGCAAAATAAGGGAGACTAAGAAGTAAGATTTATGTTAGTGAACTCTTTAATAAATTTGACATTACCACAATGGATAAAAAGAAAATAAATAAAAGTTTAAGTGGTAATACGGTCGATCGTTTATGGTTGGGCAGAGTACCCGCTACCACCTATGGGTGAGATGGAAGAAAGTGCAAGTAATAAATATTACTAAATGATGACAAGCTAACAGAAATCCGGATAAAACATTAAGGCCTAAGGTCTACTATACTTGACACTTGTACATTTGAAACTCTTATCAGCTTCGTGAAGGTATGATTTTTCAAGCTATCTATAAAGTAATTTTAACTTTTGTTTAACAGTTTTATGGAGGGCTGTAGACACAAAGGCTTAACCTTCGAGGGCATATTGCTAATAGATAGATGGAATGAATCGTGCAAGCACACCCTCTTTTCTTTGGTCCTAGTGTTTTGCTGTGGTACTTTCTGGAAGTCTTTAAATCTGTAAATAAATTATAACCATGTTTTGAATCTTTAGTAAATCTGTATAATAATATTATATAGCCTTACTATGCAATTTATATTTATAACTTATAGTGTATAATATACCTTTTTTAGGGATTGTACAGTACAAAAACAATTTTTTGTACACGTATGTTCCTACATAATTTACTGTAGCTATGCGACCGAAGTTTATTTTTAACAATGGTTACTGCGTGCAGTTTTGTGTTACGAATTTATCGAATGATGATTATGAAGTGACTGAAAAGATTTATTGGGTAGACGTCAAAAAAAAGCTTGAGCTTTTGTCCTTAGGTTCTAAATTATAGGACATTCACTCATATGTAATAATTATAATATTACTTATGGAATTGTCTAAAATAACTATTATAATCTTAGGGTAAAGAAACTCCTTTTTTTATTTACTTTATGTTGCATTACATATCGTTAAGTTAATCTCTATTTTTACTAATTTGAGTAAACGAAGATATAAACTTTCCATGGGGGTTGAAACTTAGTTTTATTAATAAACTTAATAAGTTTTAGGTAGTGCTATTTTAGGTTATTTAGATTAATTTTTGTAATTTTTCTACCTGTAAATAAAATGGGAGGTTATTTTCAGTGGCCTTTAAAATAAAAATTTTTACTAAAGCCTTTACTCATCAGATTGTAGTGCGAGATATAAATATGCAGCTTAATGAATTTACTTTAAAGCATTACTTCTTTATCGCCTATAACTTTCGATACCACACATGAGGAGATATATTATAACGTAACCTATTAAGCTCGGTTTAAAATTATTTGTGAGGTACCTTAAAAAAAGTCGAGCAACAACTTTTTAAGATCTACTTAGCTCATGTTTTTAAATTACTTTAAAGGCTGATTACATGTTTAACAAAAACCAGATGACAAACTTAATTGAAGTTAAGTTTGCTAATGTCGATGTATCAGATGTTTTTTATTAGTAATTAAAAACTATATCATTGGTCAAAGATAATTAGAAAAAGTTGAGAAAAAATAAATTGAATACTATAACAATACGAGGGCAGGACGTTTATTTACCAGCCTTTTGAGGAATATCTAATTTCAAACTACTTATTGCAGGCAAGGCGGTTCTCATGTGTAATAGAAAACATCTAAGTACAAGGAAAGAACTTAAGTATTAATGACACATTACTACAATAAATTAGTCTTAATTAATTTTGTGTCGTTATGGTCGTTACTTAAAATAACGCTTTTATGCACCAATACTGTTCAAAAAGAATTACAAAAATACGAAATAAGAGGGTGAAGTGCAAAGCTACGTGTTCAAAATGATGCTTAAACTGACTTCGTATATCACTGCTTTTGGGATTACTGTAATTTTAGTGCACTGACACTGCCACTCTAGTGTCCAAAGAAAAATATGGATTAGTTAATAAAAAAAACTATATATTATAATTTATTAATTTCACTAGTCCAGCGACGCTACTCAACGCAAGCCTCTCCGAAACCACGCGATAGAAGAAAAAGATCTCTAGAGCCGCGCCGCTGGTTAGCTTATATACATTATTTTACATCTTAGCTCTCACTGAGCTATATGCAACTTACTAACTAGAATTCCCCCTTTTGCTATTTGCACATAAATAGGAAATTAACCACAGCGCTCTCGTAGTTTTTTTTCAAAGCTATCCTAAATTTACACCTTCAAAAAGTCTATAGGCTGCTCGATGCGTGATGAACTTTTTAAGGGGGGAAGTAAGCTCGTGGACCTGTAGACTTGGTTTGTAATCATCTAAAATGCCCTTAGCCGGTGGATTATATGGCCTAAACCTTTTCCCCTACTAACTCAAACCAACCACCGATCACTGCAGCCACCTCTCCCAACCACGTACGCCCTTTTCGCTTTGAAAATACGACTAATAATTCTTTTTTCTCCATAATTGTTAGTTTAGGCGAGTCCTGTTACAGATATTTTTACTAACCGATCTGCCTAATATTCGATAATTACATACTGGTGTAAGATTCACCAGTTTTAATGGATTGCGATGGTAGATTTTATCGTTTCCATCTAAGCGTACTAGGTATGAGCAAACTACGAAACTTCTAGCACCTTTGCTGGACCATTCTAGTGTTCAATATTTAACTTATTTTCTTTT